ATCATTTCAGCATACATATTTTTTTAAGAAAAACATTTTTTTGGAATATAACGTAATTTATGACCATGGATGAGAGCTTGTTAACCATTAGGAGTAAAATGGTTGGACTTTGACTAAAACCAAAACCAAAACAAAAAATTTGTTTTCCACATTGGAATATCAAACCAATCATTTTTCTTAATTTTGATTATTCTGTTTTTTTTTTTTCATTTTTTTGTTATTAATCACCACTTTCATGTTTTCTTCGATCACAATACATCCAACGTATCTCATAAAGATTATATAAGAACTTTCCTCGAAAATGTTATTTTGTAAACAACTAAAAAATGTTGGTTTGGTATTTTTCAAAGTAAAAAAATTAAAAGTAAAAAGAAAAAAGAAAACAAGGAATCGAAACCGAGAAAAAAGAAAAAAATAAGCGAAATATAAACGAGAAATGAAAAGAAGAAAAGCCTAATGATTTGTTTTTTTTTTCAAAGTAAAAATTCTGAAAATTCTAGTTAAAAATTACATTTGTATTAAAAAAAATCTTTAAAAAATTGATGTTTTCTAAAAGGTGTTTTAAATACAAATAGTTTTTCTAAAAAAAATAGAAATATAAATGGTTTTTTTAGGGTGACAATCGTGTCGTGTTCGGGTTGACGGGTAATAAAAGTTCAACCCGAACACGGCCTTTATAAATGTTTGTGTTGTCTTTACTCAATCTTAATATGTAACTTGTTTAATTATATGGGTTCGTTGGTTCGGGAAAAAAAATCTAAATATTAGATATTTAGTTATTAGTACTTATTCTCTACTTTATTTACTAAATATATATATATTTTTATTTTTTTAATCTAATAAAATAAATGAGTTTTTGTGTCAATACGTGAAATAATCTGTAAACACAAACACAACATATATTAGAAACGGGTTAGAAAAACTCAACTGAAACTCGTTTATGTTATGTTGGAATTGTCATCCCCATTTTTTTAAAAGGAAAATAAAAAAGTATACGTTTAAGATAATTGTTTGAAAATATAGTGGTTGTTTTTTTTTTTTTTGTTTATAATAATGAGCATCAGGGGTAGAATTGTCAGAGACAAACAGAGTAAAGGGGTAGCGGTGGAATTAACCAAAAAGTTTTGAAATTAAATGGAAACCCTAAAAAACAAATATTCATCAAGAAATGGGGGGAATACTCGATCAAATTAAAACACACCTATCTTACTACACTCCAGCGATATATCCGGTGCTCCAAAATCCAATCCAATCTCACTACTTCAATAGTAACACATCTTGATTTCTCGAATCCTTTCATTCAAAGAATCGATTTCCTTCTTCAACCTCTCGATCTTCTAACAAACGACAGCTCAGATGTTCTTTCTCATTCAAATTAGTCAACGATTTCAAGAAAGATTAAGGCAAAAGTAGCTGCGAAGAGATTATTCGTCACCAAGGTATTAATTTTTTTATTATTTTTTTTTTTCAAAATGAAGTTGAATCCGAACAACCATTGTTGCTAAATTCGGATTTTCTTAGCTTATTTGGAATTTAGATCTTGATGTTCATGAGTATTTCCGACTACGATCTATCTGAGTTCTATGGTTTAGTTTAATCTGTGATTCATAAGCATTTCTAGATCTATCTCCTTCAATTGTTCATCTTGTTGATAATTTTTTTACCAGATGGGAAGAAGCTTGAGTCCAGTTCTACGCCGCGAGTTGGAAAATCTCGATAAAGATGCCGCAAGTAGAAAATCCGCCATGAAAGCTTTGAAATCATACGTAAAGGATCTTGATTCAAAAGCAATCCCAATTTTTCTCGCTCAAGTCTCTGAAACCAAAGAAACCGGAACCACATCAGGTGAATACACAATCTCGCTTTACGAAGTTCTTGCTCGCGTTCATGGCACCAAAATTGTTCCACAAATCGATAATATCATGTCCACCATTATCAAAACTTTAACTTCAACTGCTAGCTCGTTCGCTCTTCATCAAGCTTGCGCTAAAGTGGTCCCCGCAATCGCACGATACGGAATGGACCCCACCACAAACGATAACAAGAAGCGAGAAATCATTCGATCTCTTTTCAAACCGCTTTCGGATTCTTTGTTATCGAGTCACGAGAATTTATCTTCTGGTTCCGCCCTTTGTCTGAAAGCGCTTGTGGATTCGGATAATTGGCGGTTTTCCACTAGCGAAATGGTGAATGAGGTTTGTCAAAGGGTGGCTGCGGCTTTTGAGAAGGGCAAAATGGTAAATTCACATATGGGGTTGGTTATGGCGTTAGCGAAACATAACGGGTTGATTGTTGAAGCGTATGCAAGGTTGTTGATTCAGTCCGGGATTGGGATTTTGAATATGGGAGTCAAGGAGGGGAATTCACAAAAACGGTTATCGGCTATTCAAATGGTGAATTTTTTGATGAGGAGTTTGGATTATAAATGTGTAATGTCGGAATTACCCTTTGTGATTGAGGAAATGGAGAAGAGGCAAAACGATCAAATGGCGTATGTTAAAGGTGCGGCTTTTGAAGCGATACAAACTGCGAAAAGAATCTTGATTCAAAAAGGATCAAAACAAAATCAATCGCCACCTCAGTCACAAATTATGGATTCTTTTGGTGATTATAATTCTATATCATATTCGCCATTTTCGATTAGTTTTGCATCTTGTGATGTTGATTCTGATAGAAGTGTTAACCGAAAGCTATGGAGTAATGTGGATGTTTCTCTAAAAGACGGGTTGTTTTCGAGTGGAATGAGTACTCCAAGGAGCGTTATTGAAAATTCTGAAAATAGCGAGTTATCCGAGACACAAGGAGATTATGAAGATGGATTTTCAGGATTCATGCAAAGAAACCCCACTCCTAGGTCTCCTCAGGTAAATTTAGACATTTTTATAACTTTTTACAATGATTAGACAGGACAATTGGACTATACAGACTTCTTTTAGTGTTGTTTTCAATAATTAGAATGAAAGGACATTTATGTCTTACACAACAAGTTTTTGTTTCACTTTTTAGTATGGGTATAATTTTTATTCACTGAAACATCAGTCCAAGTCTAAGTCCAAGTCTAATACATGTCAGATGAGTACATTTTCTTCTAGATAAACTGTTGTATCTAATAGTTGTGGGTTTTGTTTCAGAGAACAAGGTCATATGTTAATGTTGACAACATGGACCTTTTCACGACTCCTAGGAAACTACTGATGTCACTTCAGCATCCAGATGACGACTGCTCAGGGAACCAAAGTAGAAGATTCCGGAGCCCATCATCGAGCAAATTCAATCAGAGCCACACATCGAATTTTGATCAAAATGAAAGTTTCACGGATGAAAATGAACAAATTTATGGTACCTTAGAATCTGTGTCTTCAACTGAAGACATAGACATCCCACCAAATGGGAGTGATCATTTGCAGCCGTCTCAAGTACTTCTTCCGGAAGCAAAAACGAAATCTCAAAGACTGTCAGCCGTCGTAATTTCTTCCGGACTAGTGATTCTACTTATTGCTGTCATTTGTTTCTTCTGGAAACAAGATCAAGATAAAGGGTACAACCTCGTACCTACCTGATTTCTAGTGATTCTGTATTTTTTTTTTTTTTTTTTTTTTTTTTGTAGTCTGTTTCATAAGTTTGTTGTTGCCTGATGAAAATTTATCTATTTTATGTTCTAAAGAGTTGTTTCGTTTTGACTTAATGGGTTAAGCACTTGATCCAGACAACTATACATAGATGTTTCGTTGTTACTCAATCTAGATAATAGAACAACTTAATGAGTTGAGTAAATAACCTAGCTTTATGTATAAATGACATATTTGCCCTTCCTTTTCCTCCCAACCACTCTCAAATTTAAATTGATGGAGAATCTTGTGAAATTTATGCATATTGTGAAAATTGTTTGTTTGGAATGAGGGGTAATATAGTCATTTAGTCTCATTCAAATAATTTATTCTATCTAAAAGAAGAAAACAAAAAAGACCTTAAAATGTACATCACTTTAACCAAACAAACATCATTATTGATACAATCATTTTACCTCTGTGTTTGACAGAGTAGCCGAAAAACCAACTTTTAGGTAATAGTGTTAGGTAAAACTAGTAGTTTTATCATAAAAATCTACGTTACATCTTACAAAACTATATAAAAAAAAAACTCAATCCTTATTTGGAAGTTGGACTTCCCTAAGGATTTTAGCAGCATCTTCTGGGAAAACCGGGTTTATATAACACCCTGTTCCCATTTCAAAACCACCAATTGTAGATAACTGTGGGACTATTTGTATATACCAATGAGTGTAAGGTAACTCAGAGGAAACAATGTGAAGAGGTGAAGTATGAATCATAAGATTATATGGTGGGTCATTCAACTGTAAGGATAACTTTTCAAGTGTAAGTTTCAGTATTCCTCCAAGATCAATAGCCTGCACACATTCTTCTTCCATCAGTATTCCAAAATGAACTCTGAGGAAGATTAAGATACTAGAATAGGAATCAATATATAATGACTGAACTCTGAAATAGTAGTACCTTATCTTCATCAAGTTGGTGGTAGTGAGAGGAATGATAGCGTGGAACAATCCATGTCTCAAATGCAAAAGTGGAGGCGAATGGAGAAATGGAACTGAAATGTGTTGATTCATTGATTAGAAGTTTGTGTGTGTTAATGTTGCAAAGACTACACTTTCCTGTTTGGTTATGGTGTTCTTTCATGGCATTGAGACGATTGGAGGCAGTGGTTGGGATAACTGGAAGAGCAAGGATTTGACTGTGTGAATGACTCATTGAAGCTCCAGCTGAGGCTCCATGGTTTTTGAACACCTAAAGATCAACTTATGAGAAATTTCATCAAATCACATTCGTGTATTGATTTTGGGATCAAAGGAGTAACAATATGTTTGTAAACGGTAAGTTAGATTGTGCTTACATTAAGAAAATCTAAATTAAATGAACAATCAGAAAAGATAAGATGAAAATAAGCAGATGAAGGTTGTAAGAAGTTTAGGATTACTCGATTCCTGATCTTCATTGAACAATTTCGAAATTCTAGAATATGATCCATTCTACTTAACTTGTAAAAACGTTAGCAGAGTTTACAGGATCATATGAGTTTGTAAGATATTGAATTTTAGAGTTCAGATTTCCAAATTGTGAAACAGAAAGGGATCGAAGAATACCTGAATATAACTGATTGAACCGACAGCGCAAAGCTGTTCTATCCTCTTCTTATAAGCAAGCAAAACAACTGCAATTCCTGCTGGTGACAAATCCGGCAAGTGAACCGAGTGAACCGGCGACTCAATTACGACGTCATGGAATCCGAACCCACCCAAACTAACTTCACCGGTGCTGCCGTTGGCCTGACGGTGTTCCTCGTTGTCTGATTTGACTTGAAGTTGTCTGCTGAGAGCCGGATACAAGTTTTCGATCACTCGGACCTTCCAATCGGAAGTAGAATCTTCAGGAAACCGGAAGATTTCCGGTGCGCATTGGTGCTCGTTTCCGGCACAAAACGGACACTGCGGTTGGGCGTTGGAGGTCGGGCTTGAGTCGGATTTGGATTGGGATTTAGATTTGAAGTCCGACGGACGGCGAGATCGAGCCGGTGATAGAATCACCAACCGGTTGTTGACTGCGTCTTTCCTGATTTCGGGATTCCGATTCTCCGTCGCCATTTTCGGTCGTCCACCGGTGTGCGTATTCCCTTGCGCGCAACGCTGTGTAAAACGGCGACTCCACGATCTTCTGGTTATGTGATTTGAGGGAATCACAAAAATCGTCCCTTATCATATTGTCAAAATACAGTTTCAGTCCTTCTATAAAAACACTTGGTTACCGGTCAAAGTAAAATCGGCTCCTCTTTCAATTTTATTATTAACTAGAAAGGTTACCCCCGTTATGCGGGGGCCAGAAGCTTTCAATGTTGTTTCCGAATTGATAAATATGACAGACAT